TTGCTTCAATTTAAACAAGATATGGCTTAGATATTAGGCATTAAAATTGAGGAGTGGGGATTTGCTACGTCACAGTTTAGTAGAAAATATACTAAAGCGTGACGTCATGCCAAATTCCAATTCGATGTATCGCCGTTATTTATTGATTACGCAAAAACAAAAATACGTATTTAATATTCTTCATTAAGCTGACCGACAAGCAAACATAAATTAGTAGTCATCCCTATTGATGGGGGACCATTCTGTGGTACATATTAAAAATGTTCTAAGAACCCCTGACTGCAATGAGGAGTTTATTTAGCCAAGCCATAATATAATTTATTTCTTTTACTTTTAATTAAATTTTGCCAGTCATGTTTTTTATTAATATATATATATTTTATTGTCTCACCGACGGACTCAATAGAAATTTTTTTTCTTTACCCAGGCATCGTCCCTTTCCTAAGAGTTATGACGTCATATTTCATAATCCATTAAGGTCGGTTGCAAAAGTGAAACTATACACAGAAAATCTTGATCATGACGTCATATAATTCGGTAAACATCTCCTTTGCAGGAATACCTATACATTATTTTGAGCAGATCATATCCCGACTCGCACTTGTGTGTTTTCAGGTGGCCACCCATTTTTTAGGTCTGGATTCGTTTGTTCATATAAGATTGAGGCACTCACAAGCGTTTGTAGTAGGAAATACTGTATTTAATTAACTTACAGGGCCGTATTTCACCAATTAGAGGCCCTGAGCACAATAGGATAATGGGGTCCATATGACCATAAAATAGGTCTAATTTACTAGCATAGACAAAGAACGTACTTAAGCAAAATTTGAGCATTATTTTTATTTCTTTCCAATAACACTACATATTATGATATATAGTATAATCCACACTAAGTAACTAGTTCTTACTCGTACATCTATGCTCATTAAAGAGCTATCCTTCTAGATTTTAATTTATCGAAAATCACATATTGGAATTTGTGTTTTAGAGCATATCACATCTATCGGCATTAGCGACAAACTGTTCAATCTCTCTTGATTTTAACTTGATTCTCGGGCAAGAATTGAGTAGTTATTAATGTAATTAAGATAAAAATTAACCAGATATGAATGTTGGTCATAAATTATCTATAATTTGGAAATCAAGTATGAACTAGGGGGCCCCCGATGGATTGCGGGGCATTAGGCACGTACCCATTGTGCCCGGTGGGTAATACGGATCTGATGTGATGACGTAACCAGCCACCTTTCATGACGTTTATTTCTAAAACGAAACGCTGTAAAAGATTTTGTTATTAGTCTTATCTTTGTCAAGAAAATAATGGATCTAAAAGTGTTTAATAAACAAGGTTAAGCGTTGGCGTAAATTTACGCTAAAACTGCATTTAGTATTAGACAAAATTCATATTATTAAACAGAGGCTTAGCAAAGTTTAACCTACTACAGGAGTAATATTTACTCCTAGAAGGTAGTAGGTTTGCTAATTCTCTGTATAATATGAATTGCGACTAAAACTAAAATTTAAATTTTATCAAAAATTTATTCTGACGCTAAACCTTGTTTATCAATAATCTGTAAGAGTTTTCCTGTTAACTATAAGTATATAATACGTTCCAGATTTCCCATCCATCTTAAATTCCATTCCAAATTCTTAACCCTTCTTCGTTCAGTCATTGGTAAAATGACCTCAAAAAGTGTTATTTTTATTAAATCCCCTCGGATTTTTATACTATACTTCTCCAATTTTCAGCTTAGCAACATATTTAGCGATTCATTTGATCTTAAAATATCGATTTATAAATATAATTGGCTTCTAACTTAATTCCTAAATTAATTAAATGAGTTAATAAAAACGGACAGTGTTGAAATATCTAGAAATCTAGCGCTTTGAGGCCCAGTTTCGTGTTCTTGCAAAACTGAAGCGTAAGTTTGAGTATTGTTAAATTTCTATTGGCTGGTAACGATATACATATTATTTGCTAACGGCTTAAGATCTTAGTAAGATTGCGAGTGAATCCGTATGAAAATAGTCCCCGAGTTCTTTGTTAGTGGATGCCGGCTGGCGACAAGGGCGTGGCGTGTTTGTAGGTCAACGGGACGCGGGGCGCTGCAGTATTGATCCTAACAGGGTGCAGCGACGAACGTTCTCTATCTTAAGATTTAAATTAATTCATGTTTTATATTAAACCTTTCTTTAAGCTCTGGCCCAAACAGTTTTTAAGGGCGTCTAAACTAAATTAACATTAAGCTGGTTATTTATAGTTTTCTTTTCTCTCTTAGGGCTCAAACAGGGTTAACCTAGAAGCCTGGTTGGGACGATGCATTGATTTAAACCAATATTACTTGATAAACACTTTATTTCACAGTCTCGCCGTTCATTGGCGTTACATTTTTTGTCATCTTTTATTCTATTGCCAACAATAAAAAACAATACTGTCATAGTTTATCGCAAGATGTCGTTTTCAATAAAATCAATGTTCTATTTGAGTTTCTTACATTTAGGTTTGTAATTAAATTGAGTTTGGTTTAATCATAATTACCTTTTAGAAATACACAAACATATAGTTGAACGACATTAGAATTTACTTTTTATAATTAATACCCTTTTGTAACATTGCATACTTAAATTTAACATACTTTTTAATATGCAGTGATAAATATTAATCTTTTATTTGTAACAATATAAATTAAATACAATAAGTAATAAAAATCTGTACTGTTTACGAATACAAATACATGAATATGCGCGATCATGGAAATTACGTGTTTTAAATAGTGTCATTTCGTAGAATTACATTCTCAAGTCAATACTACACTTATTTATTACAGTCATCGTCACTTTACAAGTATTTTTTATTAATCAATGTAATAAGTATAATAATAATAGGCTTACAATAGATTTCAGACACATATTTACATAAGAAATTACAACATGCAAAGAAAATTATACTATTTAACTATGTATGTCTAAATTTCTAAAATATTGTAAAGTAGGACTATTAGTTTATAATATCAAATTCAAATTGAACAGCAATCGCAGTTGAAAATAACATTTTTTTTTGTTTAAATTTTAAAATCACCATTTAGAAGAAATCATAATTGTAATTCAATCGTTGTGACTTATACTATTAAAGAGTAATTGAACTTTTAATGACTAATTGATCATTTTATATCCAAAATTAACTGCTGAACTTATTTTAATGATATTGACACTATCGGCAAGCTTTCATCAAGCTCTGAGACGTTTAAAAAGCAAAATACGCTAGTTTCACGATTACTCAATTTTTCTAACCGCCCCTTATTTTTGAATGAGAAACTACAGCGTATGTGTATAAGGAAAGGTATAAGCTGCAATAATTGGGTCAAAACATTATTAATACTCTTTTATTATAGGGAATATTGATAAATATGCGAGTCTATTTGTAGGTATTTTCAGGAACTTTTTACAATAATCGTAAGGATTTGCGAGTTATTTAAAAATGTTTTTATAATTAAATGTTCTTTGGCTCACCAGTCTCTGTACCCAAATTTTCTCTTTTGTATTAGGTCTACCCTTATATCATAGACAATAGATAAGCTATTTGCTACAAACTAATATGTATTTATCTTATACAAGTTTAAGAAAATCCACTAGAGACCACACAGAGAACCAAAGTGGTTAGAGCAGTCTCTCTGATTGCGGAAGGTAATGAGTTCGTATCCCATCTAGAGCAATTAAGTTGTTAAATATGTATATTGTATAAGATAAATCTCATTATTAAAGTCTGTCTGAAAATTATTGCACTTTAGAATTCCGCAGACGAGATGTTCAAAAAACAAGTCCTTTTTTTTCAAGGCAAGGTATTTTTAAAGGTCAAATAATTAGAGAAAACATAATCTGTTTGCCGTGTCATGCCGTCTACCCATTATGCGCCTACCACACGTGCATGCTTGACCACAGTTTTACTAGCGCATGCCGGCTTGTACACTGAACACTGTGCGTGTAGTTGGTAAAATGGTAGCATGCGCAAACCCCAAAACCGGCATGCGCAAGTAAAACTGTGGTCAAGCATGCACGTGTGGTAGGCGCCTTAAGAGCGCCCTAGGCGGTTTGCCTAGTTTGCTTATATGGACGAGTCGGCCCTGGCTTTGACAAGGAGCTATGCATATGTAATTTTGTATAACTAGAATGGTTTAAAGCAGAGCACATATACTGATGTAGACACTAAACGAGAATGTATACATATTTTTCTGTGGTAGTATTTAATATACTATTACGGATAATCACACTTTTAGGCTTATTATATTTATAAATATAACTTAATTATTTTTAGATTTTAACTCATTCTATAAATGAAACGTTTTTAAAATATTTTTTTAGTTATAATATATCATGCACAGAACAGAAAAAAAAGAGTATAAATCGCAAGTGGGCAATGAGGAAGTATTTAAAAAAAAAGTAGTTCCCGAAATCAAACTAGATGTCGCTACGGTACGTTCTTGATTTATCCATGACAACCCTTCCGGTTTTCTTTCATGTTTAAAAGTAAATTAGTTTTCAAAACGCAATAAACAACTCATATTCTATTCGTACTTTTTCGTATTTGAAAATTTCGAAACTTAGATAGTTTCGAAATTTTCAAATTTCTGTTTTTTTTATGTTAGTCAAAAGGAATGGAAATGACTGTCTTTGGTCCGTTCGTTTCCTGCAAAAATCAACTTTTGTTAGAGTCGCCATCTAGTGGAGGTGTTTTTTAGTGCTTTCGTTTTTTTTAATACTTCCTCATTACGGTGATATATTGAATTTAAATGTGTGTTAATTTTCTACATAGCTGTGACGTAGCGAGTCCACAACTTTAATTCCTTTGAACTATCCCATTAAGCCGTTTCTTTTTTAATTCAAGCAAAATATAAAATACGTATCTATTATTTTTCTATTATCTGACTGACGATTCTGAAGAATCATCTTATGCCATCTTAATTGGAATTCACTGTGATAAGACTGAATTCCCTTTCCCGCAGATGGACATATACGTGCAAACCGCCAGCCCAATTGTGGAGGAAGTGCTGCGCGGTTACAACGGCACTATATTCGCGTACGGACAGACCGGCACGGGCAAGACGTACACTATGGCCGGCGCTAACTCAGCGCCAGAACTGCGCGGGATCATACCGAACTCATTCGCGCACATATTCAGCCATATCGCGAAAGCTAACGACGACGAGAAGTGAGTAGCGAGATTCGCTAATGCCACTTGATTGAAAGCATATATAGGTATTGTAGATAGATCATAAAAATATATATTTAAAGATAATACATTTAATATATTAGCTTTTAAAGTGCGAATGTGGACCGAATGGCATTCTCTATAGAATCACCATACGGCAGCGCAGACACATGCCAACTCTTACCACCCTTATCTCATTTTAAGATTCAAATATGCTCCTACCAGGGCTTGAAACAGGTTTAGAATGAACCGTTTTTATTTAGGTAAAAAAACGGAACATTCTCTTATAATGTTCCGTTCCGGATCGGAACTAAATGAGGAGTGTAATTCGGATGGAATAAAAACCGGTTAATTTGCTTGGTTCGTAAACAGCAATGTTCCTAGTCTTTTAATGTGAATTATTTCATTTTTAAGCCATGACATGTATCATACCTGTGCACGGATGTTATAGATAGGAGTAAAGGCACTTAAAAACCGCGCTGAAGTTTGTGAGATCATTGTTTGGAGTCATATCTAAACCGGTTAATGAAGAAAACCGTATTTCTAGTGAACCGGTTTAAAAACCTGTTCAAAGGAGCTGAACCTTTTATAAAAAGCATGTACTTACGTCGAACCGGTTCAAAAAATTAACCGGTTTCCCAGCCCTGGCTCCTTCCTACCTTACTCCCCACAATACTTGTCCACAAGTCACTCTAAAAATCTACGTTCTGCTTCTAATCGTTTGCTCATGTGTCCTTCTCATAACTCTGATGTAGTACATTCTTCCTTCTTTATTAAGTCTATTCTCCTATGGAACTCTCTTCCTTTAGACTTAAGAATGTCTACCAGTCGGTATGCGCTTAAAACAAAGTTACCCAGCTATCTTTCAGAGCAAGCAGATTCCTTTAATGGTTACTCGTGTATGTATGTATTTAATATATTGTATTTATATTTATATATGTTTCATATATTATATTGTATGTATCTTAAAGTATGCATATTAATTAGCTTATCTAGTCTATTTTTGTGGTTATTTTGATTGTAATTGTACCTGACCACTTATTCTTCTCCATATTACCCTAAGGTTGACTGGCAGAAAATGCCTCAGGCATTAAGTCCGCCTATGTACACATTTGTGCATAAAGAGTAAATAAAGAAATAAATCACCCGCACTCTGAAATCGGAACTTGTCGACCAATGAAGTTGTGCCTTAAAGTACACATTGTGAATAGGTTCCTGGTATGCGTGACCTACTTGGAGATTTACAACGAGGAGGTACGTGATCTACTCGGCAACAACCCGCATCAGAGCCTGGAGGTCAAGGAGCGGCCTGATATTGGCGTGTTTGTCAAAGATCTTACGGGTAAATTTTTAATATACACATATACTTGCGTCTTTTGTTTGTGGTATCTAGTCAAGGATCGTCTTAAAAGTCCAGGGTCTCAATTGGAAGGTGGCCATAGGAATTTTGTAATTAAATAACGCAAACCCGTCGAGTTTGGACTCTTTTATTTGTTTAGGAAAGATCTCTGGTATAAAAAAGATTATTTTTAAACAGAAAATTGATAAAAGTTTTTTTTTTTAATAGAACCGACTGCAAACTTTAAAAAAATGATAAATAATACTTATCACAAAATCGACTTATTCAAGATAATGCTATTGAAGTAGGGCGGAGATTTTCTGTAGCTTATTAATTAAATGATAGGCACACGCAATCTTTTTTATTTTATAGCTGATATAAACATATCATCTAAGTATTTATGTGATATCTCTCTCTCTCTCCCCCCTCTCTCTCTCTCCCTCTCGCTCTCTCCCTCTCGCTCTCTCTCTCTCTCTCTCTCTCCCCCTCTCCTCCCTCCGTGAGCATACATTTTTAAATTTATAATTTTATTATGATTTTGGCGGATGACTGCAGGCAGCCATTTGAAGGCCCCCTAGGAGCAGGAGTCCCGGGGCGGACCGCCCCCTCCCCCCTTTTGTCCGCTACCGATATAAAAGGACAACTGTTGATTCGATTTCTATAAAATTCTAATGAGACTACCTCGATCCATTATGCCGTTGAATAAAAGAGGAGAATTTTGAAAATCTGTCAACAATTGTCGGAAATATCGAAAAGAACATACATAAAAAACTTCCTCCTTTTCGGTTTTGAAGTCGGTTAAAAATAGAAGTTCTTAGTTGTTCGAAAACTGGTACAGATTTTGTCATCGGTTGATTTCTGTCTTATTTTCGTACTAGTGAATAAGCATATGAATGTTATTACAGCTTGAATTAGACGTAGAGCATAATTTGTGTGTTTTAAAGAGTTGGTCCTTCGAGCCGGATTTGTTAATTAACCTGATGCTGTCTCCAGGTTACGTGGTCCACAATGCGGATGAACTGGAGAAGATAATGGCGGTCGGTAACAAGAACAGGCATATCGGTGCGACGGCTATGAACACGGAGAGTTCCAGGTCTCACGCGATATTCAGTATCACCGTGGAGTCAAGTAAGCGAGGCAGCGACGGCAAGGTGCACGTCAAGATGGGGAAACTGCACCTTGTGGATTTGGCTGTAAGGTTTATTTTGCTATGTGATTTACAGTTAATTTAGATTTAACTAGCTGTTTTAGAGTATTGGATGACAATATGAAATGCTAGTGACTTAATTAAATTTTTTATCTTTTAAAATTTCAAAATTTCTAGTAGGCAATATTTCTAATTCGGACCAATGTTACCAGCGTCAAATCTGGTTGGTTAATTTTATTGCTGAGACTCAATTCTCAAACTTAAAATAAGTATTATAAATGTCAACTTATATATCAATCGATATATGTATATTTTTTTAAATTAAGCGATTGCAACATAACAATTTGTCAAAAAGCGAAAACCCGAGAGAGAAAGAATATATAACTTATACACTACACTTCATAGGCCCTGTCATAATACCAATGTCGGTACTGTGATGTCAAAGTCAAAGTCAAAATAATCTTTATTCAAATAGACTTCTTAAAAGTACTTTTGAATCGTCCAACATTTTTTCCCTACCACTCGTTCAGGACGTCTTTTGGCTGATAAGAAGAACGAGCAAGAAACTCACCAGCTCTAATATGAGTAATGACATTTACAAAAACCATGTCATTACCAGATCAATACATTATAAACAGAGATAAAAAAAACTATGGTCTTATAATAATAACATAATCATTTAATAATAATGGAAACAAGATAATGAGTTTAGAAGTAATCACCTATCCAGTTGCTGGATCATCTCAAGTCCAAGCGTTCTTATCTGTTACATAATCGGATACCTTATAATAAGCTTTTTTAATAAGTATTTTTTAATAGTAGATTTAAACTGCATGATATCTAATTGTTGTATTTTGCTTGGGACCTTATTGTAGAAGCGCACACAGACCCTTGAAAGAGTTATTAACTTTTTGCAGTCTAGTGACAGGCACCGTTAATTTATTTTTATTTCTTGTATTAAAATTGTGTACATCACTTTTAATAGAAAACAAACTAATATTTTTACGAACGTACATTAAGTTCTCGTATATGTATTGAGAAGCAACAGTCATAATGTCTATTATGACTGTTGCTTCTCACGATGTAGTAACGACATTAGCTGAGACAGGGTCCTAATTAACCTTCACACAATATAACCACGGATATATATAGTTTAAGATATGAATTCTGTAAGTTATTGTCTGTCTTCTGTTTGTGTAATGTTATGGTGTGAATAAAAATATTCTTATACTTAACTTTGTTACTTTTTTGTTAGGGCTCTGAACGTCAGAGCAAGACACAAGCCACTGGCACTCGTCTCAAAGAAGCGACCAAGATTAACCAGTCCCTGTCGGTGCTGGGTAATGTGATATCAGCTCTAGTTGACGGCAAATCCACTCACATACCGTACAGGAACTCGAAGCTCACGCGTCTGCTGCAAGACTCGCTCGGCGGCAACTCGAAGACCGTTATGGTGAGTTTCTATGTGTAAAGGCAGGGAGATTGCTGGGCCAGTGTGGATTCATCGTAGTCAGCCTGTTAAGTCACCATTGCTGGGGCTCAAGCGTTCCCTATCAATGAAACCGAATAGGGATGTGACGGGTTCTGTGCTTGTGCCAATTAATGAAAGGCTGACTAGCTTGAGAATGGATTTATTTATAGTATAAAGGATAAAGTAAAGAAAATGTAACGAAACAAAATATGAATATAAAAACAGTTCGTATGTTAAACTAAATATAAAATTTTAAATTACCAAATAAAACGAATACATACCCCTTTTTGGGTTTCTCGCTAAAAACTTGAATCGTCCAAGTTGCAGAATACACTTTTATTTTTATTATATTATATTAGTCTCCACACCAGCCCTTTTACGTCCCCACTGCAGGGGCTCAGGCCTTCCTTATGGATGGTTAAGGAGGATGGGCCATGACCCTCCACGCTGGCCCAATGCGGATTGGAGGGTAAATTAGTCTCCTTCATTATTATTAACAATTATTAATACAATTTTACGTTTAAATTTATATGTCATTTACATGTTTACAACATATGAATTTTTTTACGAACTGACATTCATAAAGAGTATATTTGATTAGTCAAAATTTCAAATTACGAAAGGTAAATAATAAAAAGAAATGATGTTGAATATCAAAGACAAAAAGTTTGCATGTTGAAACCTAGGAAAATAAACAGTGGTATGACACACCGTTACAGGGAGAATGGGCCACGACCAACCAAATTGGCACAGTGCGGCTAGGTGAGTGTTACCGACTGCAGACGCTTTATCATAACATAAATCTCGAGCTACTTCGGAAGGCTCGTTACATTGTTGGTCACGGCTGTATCTGTAGTCGTGAATACCCTCCAATCTGGGCCAGCGTGGAGGGTTATGGCCAGGTAGAGTTATTTATGTACTTGCATCGAAATGTTGATATTAATGTGGACCTTCCCGGGATTTCTTTATTTCTTCTTTCTTTATTTCATTCTTTCATTGATGTAAGTTTGGCAACGTCGTGCGTGCAGTAGTTTAAATTGTGTAAAAGTAAATAAGTAAATAACTTTTTATTTAAAAAATCACGGGATCTTTTCTGCTCTTTAAAATTAATCTCGGGATTTGAGGCATATCCAATTTATTCTTTCGCTGTATCAGTGTAAGTACACGAATAACTATACCTAATTCCGACCACTGGTTATGGCCCATCCTCCTTAACCATCCATAAGGAAGGACTGAGCCCCTGCAGTAGAGAGGTAAAAAGGTAGATAACTTGATTTGATAATAATTATTTTTAATGTCACTCCAGATAGCAACAATAGGTCCAGCTGAGACTAACTACGTGGAGACCATAAGCACATTGCGATACGCTAATCGAGCTAAAAATATAGAGAACAAAACTCACGTCAATAACGAGCCCGGGGATGCGTTACTCACTAGGTAAGTGAATATTTTCACTTAAAATACCATCTACTGCCCATCTATTTATGTAATAGTCCAGTCTAACCCGCGGTTGATGGAAGAAATGCTTTTTAGCGATATGGCCGCTGGTTGAGCCGCTGTTATTTATTTATGGTGTGTAATAAAGTATTCATCCATTAATTAGTACGTATGTTAGTTATATCTATAGTCAAGAGAAGTAATTATTTGAGAGGAGATGATATGTTTAACTAATAGACAAGAATTTTAATGAAATGAGAACTGCATTTTATTATATAGTTCATGTTTTTTCTTTGCCTCGGGTTGTCTGGAAGAGATTGCTACGTAGCAATAAAATCGCCCTTTGTAATCTTTCTCTTTTTCTATCTTCTCTGTATTATGTCCTGTCTAGCGTGCAATTATTAATATTATTATTATTATTAATAGCTTATAATTATAGCGTATTTTAGTCAATGTTTTGGCAATACGCCCAAACGGCCGAAAAAAATATTTTTGCATATATTTAAACTTTCGATAAATATGAAAAATTGTTCTAAATATTATATTTGATCAGTTTTGCATTTGCAGTCCTATAAAAAATATTCTTAATGGAAAATGGTTAAATAATCCACTTTCTGTCAGTTGCACAAACGTTCATTAAGATTTAATGACGTCTTTAAGCTCTAATGGACGTCAAATATTTATTGGTCATGTCGCTTTAAACTAATGACGTTTTAATGGACGTTTGTGCAACTAGCTGTTTGTCTCTGACATTATTAATTGAGAATAATGTCAGAGACAAACAGTTAGTTGCACGATATTTTACAGTGGGGCATTGTAATTAATATAATTGATAAAATTTAATAATTATGTATATTTTCTTAAATAATTATTTTTACCTTAGTCATTGCTTTTACTTGACTATAGATACGGGTGTTAGTTACCAGTATAATATTTTTTTATATTTGCACATACGCAAAACTAAACTATTAAAATTAATCAACATCTGTAGCCCTGCTAGTTTATTACTGTATTTCGACTTGCGGCGCCCTCCCGGCGTTTTAATTCATTTTCGTTGATAAAAATTTTGGTAAATATAATAATAAAAAAAAAAATTAAAAACTAAGTATAATTACCAAATGCCTGCCAGTGTATATTATATAGTATATATACATATATATATATATATATAAAACAAAGTCACTTTCTCTGTCCCTATATCTCTATAAATACTTAAATCTTTAAAACTACGCAACGGATTTTGAAAGAAAGAAAGATAGGGTGATTCAAAAGGAAGGTTTTTATCTATAATACAATACCACGCGGGCGGAGCCGCTGACGGAAAACTAGTAGTATACATTATATTGTAACATCATGGTTTGCAATATACGTATGATTATTTATTATTGAATAATAAATCTATATTAGAATTGTAAATATGAATGATTTAATTAATTGGCTATAATTTACGCGGGCGAAGTAGCGGGAAAACAGCTAGTAATATCTGTACACAGGAAAAATTAATTATCAGCGTATAAAGTTTTTCGTATGGTTTAGTATCTTCTTTTTAATGTCATATTTAAATATTAAAAATTTTATGTGTTCTTTTAACACACTACCGGTAAAACCTTAAGGCATATTGCCTGGCATAATATAAAAAAAAATGCCAGTTATGAGGGTGACTGCAATTTTAGTAGCTTTTTTGGTCGTTATTTTTTTTTTAAACAGAATCAGTTTCATTATTTTTTTTTTTTCTTTTTTGTGTATACTCCTTAATGTACAATTATTATTGCAGATTCCAACAAGAGATTGATCAGCTTAAGAAACAACTAGAGGATACTGCGAATGGTGCGTTGTATTACTTTATTTATAAGATTCACACACGCGTCCGTACAGAAAACGAGCAATAAAATCACTTTTGTTGTATGTAAGCCCCCTTAAATGTTTGTTTGTGAAGATTTCAACTGTGTAACTTTCACGGTTCATGATATACAGACAGACAGACAGACTGCGAAGTCTTGGTAATAGGGTTCCCGTTTTATTTTTAAAAAGTGTTCATAGCTATATAATGGACTTCCTTCATTTATGACTTAATTTTTTTTCTCAAATCAGATATAGAAGAAGACGAAGAAGAATGCGAGAAGTCTGAAGAGGAGTTATCAGATGATACCCTCACTGAACCGGAGATGGACAACCTCGACCCTGAGGAGAAGAAGACTCGTAGGAAGATGAGACGAGAGGAGAAGGTGAGTAGAGAATGCAAAATTTTAAGCGCGGGCATACAGTCATTGCGGAACTATAGTCTCCAGCAGGCAGGGTTCAAAGTGATACTCAATATGATAGGGTAAAAAAAAAGAAATTCTATGTAGTCCATCAATCAGATAATACAAAAATATTAGATATGTATTTTTTTTTACTCAATTTAAACTAGAAATGGCTTAGATAATTGGCATTAAATTTGAGGATTGGGGGCTCGCTACGTCACAGTTTTGAAGAAAATGTACAAAAGCGTGACTTCACGCGACATTTCAACTCGATATATCGCCGAATTTATTGATTTCGGAAATAATAAAAAAATACGTTTTTAATATTTTTCAATGAATTACCTGACGGACTAACAAACAAAAGTTGGTCATTAATTATTTAATTAATCCGTCCATTAATCACGTGATGTGTTTTTTTAGAATCCCTCCCCCCTTGATGATACATGGTCAGGTTTAAGACTTATCCCCTCCCTCCACACAAATGGCGGTTATTTTAGTACCTACATAAAATCTTAATTTTTAACGCCGCTTTACGGTTTAATGATCGCAGGTTTGAGAAAAAAAAAATTACACGTGATATATTACTACAACCCCCTCTCTCTTGTGATATTTCGTGATTTTTGACGAACCCCCTCCCCCCTTTGCATCACGTGATTAATGAACGGCCTCTGATTACTCTCAGAAAAGCTTTGCCCTGCTTCAATAGTAATTTCATAAATAATCATACTGTTTTTAAGATAAGTAGGATTATTTCTTGTGATTCTAAAGATTGACGTCGGTTCTTTCAAAAAGAAAAATTAAATGTGTTTAATATTGTTTTCTTATATTTTTACATGCACTATCCATAAATGAAACAACTTTTAAACGATTCAAAAGACCCGGAACTTATATGTGAACACGGAACCTGTGAAGGGTCCGAAACATCAATAAAACTAAATACAAATGCGATGAAACCGCTTAAAAGTTGTATCATTAATAGCCAGTTGCATAAACCTACATTAAATTTTACATTAGTTTAAAGCACATTACTCATACCAATTTGAAATTAATTAGAGCTTAAGTGCGTAATTAAACCTTAATCGACGTTTGTGCAACTGACCGTAAAGGTTTTTAAAATTAAAATAGTATCTAACGTCAAAATGAAACCACACTTCAAGACGAACCTTTCGAATTCACAGGAGAAATTGAACCGTGAGAAGGCTCACCAGGCACGGAAAGTTCTAGAAGAGAAGAAAGCCGAGCTCCAGAGGACGAAGTGAGTATTACTGAATCATAAAAGACGTATAACTTCTGCCCGCTTTTTCCCCAGGGAACTTTAAAGGGGGGAGGGTAAAAAGTAGTTAGTATGTGAGTTCAGGTTTAAAATTATCCGTATAACGAATTTCATCGAAATCCTTTGAGTAATTTTTACTTCCCCACTTCAGGGGCTCAGGCCTTTTATGGATGGATAAGGAAGATCGGCCGTGACCCTTAATTTGGTTGATTTGTGGGTATTAACGTGCGGGAACGATGCTTTAACATGCCTTTCGAAACACAGACTAGCTTGTGTTAATATTTTTTTGGTAACCCATCTTGTGACCGACCCTTGCAAAAGTTACTTAGCAACAATCGCGGGCTGCGGCGCTAATCCACTACGCCACCGAAGTACTCAAGTTGAAAACAACATATTTATTTTATTTTATCAATTTTTCATTCACAATGCTATACTGAAATATACTTCATGATATTAACTACCATGTAGTAATTTGAAATAAAAAGAAATACTTTTTGCCGACATTTGGTATAATAATATTTAATAATAATAATCTTTATTTTATTTTCTTCTACATTTTGAGCAACAAATGTGTACAACATAAAAATACAGCAAGTTTATGTAGAAGACAGGAGTCCAAACTAGGTAGACCCCGTTCTATGGCACTCCTGGCCTCCACCTCTCGAATTAATAACCACAATGCCACTTTTAAAGAAAAGGTTTCAAAACAATGAAAAGCAAAAAAAGTATCACATCAAGTTGAGACTTGAGACCGTATGCAAGCGAGTGGGCGGATGTGTGCATTTTTGTGTTTGTGTGTGCTTGTGTGAAAGTGTATGTGTTTATAGTAAGAGAGAGTTTGTGAATGTGTACATTCACACATCTCCATACCCAGTAAATCTTTAAGCCTTAATTTTCAAAATATCTTCAGTTTCATTGTAATTTAGACTCAGAAGGTATGATGTTACTACATTTTTACAATTATGTCTTGTCATGGGATATATTTCTAGCAATCTGTTAAATTCAAAAAATAATATTTATTAGTAATACGAGAGATTACAAAATGGATGACACACTCTTAAAATAGATAAGCGCGAGATGGCTCTAGTTTATTCAGCAGATAGGGTTGCGTTCTATTACACTAACGGTCAGTTGCACAAACGTCCATTGAGGTTTAAGGACGCCTTAAAGCTCTAATGAATGTCAAATTTGTATGGGTAATGTCGCTTTAAACTAATGAAAAATTTAATGGACGTTTGTGCAACTGGCTGTATCACCCATATTTGTAAAAATATTTATTTCGACTGTTTGAGTGGATTGCCTGAGCATTGATGAAAATATGCTCTGTAGTAGCGAAAAGTAACAAGTGCTTGAAAGATTCGTCAGTCCCGTTAGGTCCTGGGTAGCTCAGCGGTTAGAGCAGTCGCCCGGATTGCGAAAGGTCACGGGTTCGAGTCCCAGGCACAAAGTGGATTTTTTTTAAGCAATTTCATTAAGAATAACGACATTCCTCAAACTCATAGGAAACAACAGGAAGAGCTCAAAGAAAAACTTCAACGTCTCGAATCCAAAGTACTCGTGGGTGGGGAGAATCTTCTAGATAAAGCGGATACACAGAGGAGACTGTTAGAACAAGCGGCCAGTGAATTGGAACAGAGGCGCCTCAACGAGCTGAGGCTGCAGCAGGACTTGCAAAAGAAAGAGGTGAGCGTTGGGATTCGTTTTAAGAACTATAAAATAATTAATTAAACCACTTTTAAAAAGTTTTATTGCGTTTTAGCGGGTGTAATAAAAAATAAGACAAGAAAAGGTTTTTATTTCTTCGAAATATTGGTTTTATGGCTTTTATAAACACAAGTATTATTTCAAACAGAGTAATATATATATACTCGATTGGTTTAATTTTGTTTGGTTATTGAATATTAAGTATTAATACTCAACGCCAATTAGTTCATTTATTAAGTATTGAGTCTATGTTTCAAGAGTACGAGCTAAGATTTGATAAAAATTCAGTTCGTCATTGGATTGGATTGAAATTGACATTCAAGAGTAAGCCTCATCGTCATCATCATCAGCTCTTTTACGTCCCCACTACAGGGGTTTGGGTCTTCTTTAAGGATGGTTTAGGAGGATGGGCCATGACTCCACGGTGGCCCAATGCGGATTCGAGGGTGTTAACAACTGCAAATACAGACGGCGAAAACTGACATTTTCTAGAATATTGAATATGTTGCTGTAAGAATAACCACTACGAAGTTATAGAGCGTCAAAAATGGCCCAAACAGCTTCGAGGAAAAGATGGTACTGCCGTGCCCTTTTTACTTTTTTGCTTGACTTGGCGGGAGCACTTCCATGTATCCAGATAAAAAGCCGACGTATTCTATGTTCTTATATGATTAATATTTATTTTCCAGGCCGAACGTTTAGATTTGGAGGAGCGTTACTCCAGCTTGCAAGAGGAGAACGCAGCGAAGACTAGGAAACTGAAACGCGCTGTACAACTGCTGAACTCAGCGAAGGCTGAACTGGCCGATCAACAGAGGGAACAGCAGAGGGAGATGGAGGGCATCTTGGACAGCGTCAGGGCACTAAAGAGGGAGATACAGCTGGCCGATCTGGTCCTGGACTCTTATATACCTAAGGAGTATCAGGTTAGTTTCATCATCATCAGCCTTTTTACGGCCTTATGAATGGTTAAGGAGGATGGGCCATGACTTTCCACGCTAGCCCAATGCGGATTGGAGGGTATTAACGACTGCAGATGCAGCCGGGACGAACAGATTAACGTGCCTTCGAAAGCACGGAGTAGCTTGAGATAATAATTTTTCGGTCACCCATCCCGTGACCGACCCTTGCGAAAGTTGCTTAACGACTACGATCGCGGGCCGCGGCACTTATCCACTGCGCCACCTAGCTACTCTCAGTTAGTTTCATAGGCACATGTTATAATAGGGATGATGCCTGTTTAAATAAAAAAAGAAAATATTCTTAATGAAAAAGCTTAAATTTCCACTCATTCTGAGATGGGACTCGAACCCACGACCTTTCGCCATCCGAGCGTCTGTTATAACCCCTCAGCTAACCAGGACCTAACGGGATTGCCTGAACATTGATGAAAATACGCTCTGTAGTAGCGAAAAAGTAAAACTCGTCGGTCCTGTTAAGTCCTGGGTAGCTCAGCGGTTAAACCAGTCGCCTGAATTACGAAAGGTCGTGGGTTCGAGTCCCATCTCAGAGTGCCAGGGGATTTTTAAGAAAGGGATGAAACGGGAGTGGTAGTTTTTATGGGGATTTAAAACGTTACCATGGTAACCATCGTTTACTACTCAATTTGTCATTCCAAATAAACTGTTCCCTAGGGACCACGCGGGTGAAGCCGCTGTCGGAAAGCTAGTATAAGACATTAAGCTTACAATTTGTATAAAACTCTACAAAAATAAAAAGGGAAGCGCAATCTTATTGTTTTTTCATTGTTGTTACAGGCGTTGATAGAACAGTACGTACACTGGAACGAACAGTTGGGTGAATGGCAAGTCAGATGTGTGGCGTACACCGGAAACAATATGGCGACCGTTCAGCACACGCCCCCACCAAAACACGTATGTATTAATAGTTAAACTTTATTGAATATTAGACCAATTATACAAAAGATATGCACACACTTGCATTTTAAACATGCCAATCAGAACGCTCCAATATAACTATAGCCTTTCATACTCAACCATAACAGACATCTAGAGTGCGTAATAAAAGATTAATTGAAAGGATACTAGAGTAATGATTTCTTTATATTATTTTGGATATACATTGAATTGTATTTATTAAATGTGACATTATCTTCTTTTCTTTAGATATTAATTGTTAATTAGTTGGTTGATTATATAAGAAATATTTAAATTACTAATGAACTAACATTGAATCGGTACTAGCTTAAATATTTATTTGCATATAAATATGTTTGTTTATAAATAATAATAGTAGGTATTTTTTTAACGTTACGTTACTCGATTTCGTATCAAGTAAACAGATAAGATCCGCAATGAAACTAGTTATATTTACAAACAATATAATGTAAATGTAATAAATGCACTTATATTAATTCCATTAAATCCAAAATACCTGCCGAAACAGATAATTGCTCACCAAATTGTGTTACATGAATTATTATAGAAATGAAGCTAATTTCATTTTTATTGCGTGCCATAAAAATATGTAAACGCCGTTTAAAATAACTTTAGACCAATAAATTTAAAATAACCAAATATATTATATTATCGCAAAATATACTCGTATTATACCCATATTTTATTTTATGACTTTCATTAAAGTAATCTTTGCCGCGGCAAAAAACTAACTGTCGATCGTACATGTTTTTTAAATACCAAATATAATATTGCTTACCCCAAACAGAAATTACTTGTTTAGTGCTTTATGAATTTAAATAAAATAGATAAAGTAGTTAAATAAATATTTCATTCTCAATTACTGAAACTCATAATGACTAATGTAGGTAATAAAACAAATCATTGATGGGAAAATAGTAGGACTAAGTCCTTATAAGATTAATTTGTACGTAAGAATTATCAATGGCACTTTTAGGAACACAACAGTTAGAATCTGTCAATCAGAAAAAAGTAACAAAAAAATTACAGTATCAACAAAGCTTTTTTGGATTTTGCAGGCCGCCTCTCTTTCGCTTTTCACCAATAGGGATGATGACTGGGAAAAAGAAATGCAATTCTATTTAGTCCGTCTGTCAGAAAGTTGATAATAGAAAAATATTAGATACGTATTTTTTTACTTCAATTTAACAAGAAATAGTTTAGATAACAGGCATTAAAGTTGAGGAGTGGGGGCTCGCTACGTCACAGTTGAGTAGAAAACGTACTCTAACGTGACGTCATGCGAAATTTCAACTCAATGTAACGCCGTAATTTTATGATTACGAAAATAATAAATAAATACGTGTTTAATATTTTTTAAAACTCTACCTGACGGACAAACAAACAAAAATTAGTCATCATCCATATAGGGATATTTCTGGCTTCAGGTGGTGGCTCCACGCACTTTAGCCTGATTGCTAATCCCAGCAAATGTTTGCAGACATACTGTTTCAGGACAGTTGCATCTACCGGTTAGCCAATCATCACTGATGATCAGAGGTCGGAATTAGGTAGAGTTATTTATGTACTTGCATCGAAATGTTGATATTAATGTGGACCTTCCCGGGATTTCTTTATTTCTTCTTTCTTTATTTGATGTAAGTTTGGCAACGTCGTGCGTGCAGTAGTTTAAATTGTATAAAAGTAAATAACCTTTTATTTAAAAAATCACGGGTTTTTTTCTGCTCTTTAAAATTAGTCTCGGGATTTGAGGCATATCCACTTTATTCTTTCGCTGTATGAAATCAGTGTAAGTACATGAATAACTCTACCTAATTCCGACCACTGCTGATGATTGGTGTCATTACTGCCCATTAAAAAAAGAATAAAGGAAAACGTTTGTAATCTTAGCTCGACAGTAATATATTTTGAATTAAGGTTGGATAATTTGATTTCACTAAGGCAAATTAGTGCTGTAGTTTTTGGTATCAATGTTACTGTTTCAGGAAAAGAGTATTTGGTGAGCCTTAAACCATTTTGGCAAGCAAAAGTAATATATATTTTACACAAAAATACTTAAAACTTCAATTGAGCGCTTACTATAAGTTTGTTGTACGGACGTTACGTACATTAGAAAGGATGTAATTTCATCTAATCATATATTGACTTACTTTAGGAACCTCGGTTTTCAATAATATGGAATAAATTTATATGGAGTTACTGTATTTTACTTGGTACTTAGTCTTAGGGTATAAAAATTATTTTGGTGAGCACTTAAAATGTATCCTAATTAGACTAATGATAATTTGAATGTATATTTCTGCAATTGGGTGACAATTTGTTATATATTATGTGTTATATACATATGTAAGCTGTAATAATTCTCCGCGGACGTTTCCAGGGACCACCGGTATAGACTAATAAGTAAGAGTAAGTAAAATAATTTAAAATTGTTTACACAGATGGAGCCACCGGACTTATCGAGTCGTTACTTATCCTACGCGACTGTGAACAGTAGACCGGCAACCAGACTAGCGAGACCTCACACCGCCGTACCCAGACCACAGACCGGGATCAGGCAGAGACAGTAGACCGAATATGACTACTATACAGCCGGTTGCACAAACGTCTATTAAAAATGTGATTAATTTAAACAGACATTACCCATACAAATTTGGCATTCATTAGCGCTTAAAGGCGTCACTAAATCTTAATGTACGTTTGTGTAATTGACCATTAGTCCGTTTCATATAGCATGGGTACGGTGGCGTTTGTTAGCAGATCCATTTCACGCAATTTGTATTTCGATATAATTTAAAACCATCGTTATAAACAATAGTTTGACTGTGTATATATTAGATATTTATTTAAATTTGCATATTATAATGCAAATAAAAAAATTTCATATATTTTGCTTAAGAACTTTATATACACATTTATTATTTCAAATTTAAACGAGATTTTTTGCCTTCATAAATATCTGCATAAGTCAATAAGTTTGAATGGAAACTTGCCTGTACTGGCTTGAATTTCCCCTCCAGGCCCTCTAGCTACGCCACTATGTAATACTAACATTTTTTTTAAACTAATAATGATCTCAACATTCTTCATTACACTAGGGTAAACTACTGGTAATTATTTATAATATAGGTAGATTAGATATACACTATTGCTCACATATAATTATTAAAAATAAATTAACAATCTTCTTTCTGATGCTAAGGTCTTATCGCTAAAAGTAATCTCTTAAAGAAGTATAGAGAACAAACAATCTGTTATGATCAAATGAAATATATAATAAAAAGTAGCATCTGCTACTATGTATTACACATATCTGTTTGTTACAAATCATACAACTATCGCATATAGTTATCGCATTGCTTATTATAATATTAATAATACTTCAAAAACAGTAGTAGGCCAATGCTATGGTAACTTATATATACTAGAAATCATTAAAAAAAAACAACATAGACGCTAAACTTATAGAATAATCAGTAACAAAGAAATTTCATTGACGTCTTAGTGTAAAATCAATTTAACTATAACATAACCTAACGTTACTGGTAGTTTATTCTATTGGTAATTTAAGAAAAGAAACTTTATGATACTCTGATGGTGATACCAAGTGTCTGACTCGATGTATGTGGAAATGAACCTTCGAGCACCGGTAGACTAACAATTTCCAGTTATAGAACGGCCGCCGAACAGAAAAAAAATCGTACAATGACCCGTCATTAGGGGCCGTTCATTAATCACGTGAGGCCGTTCATTAATCGTCAAAAATCACGAAATATCACAAGGGGGTGGGGGGGTGTAGTAATATATCACGTGTATATATTTTTTCATCGACGCGCGTTTAGTAAATCTAAAAGCGAAGCCAAAAATTAAGATTTCTTGTATTTTTTTAAATACACGTGATTTGGTTGGAGTAGGGGATGGGTAGTCTTAAACCTCACCATGTATCACCAAGGGGGAGGGGAGGTCAAAAATGTTGAAAAAACATCACGTGATTGATAGACGGCCCCTTACATGTCTCTTTCACACGTTCTCAAACATATTCCTATTGCGCTCGCACAGACGCGTCTAGCCAATTTTGTCTCAGTAAATTGAACCTGAATTGTCTCTGTTCAGCGACTGAGCTATAGTCAATTATAGATCTAAATCTCGTACGTTTGTAATCCATAGATTTAAAATACAGGAACACGATTACCTGTTATATTTAAAGGTATGAACAAGCTATACGTTTGTAATGATAGTACTATACATGTGTACTATTATTACAAAGAGGAAAGATTTGTTTGTGTGTTAGTTTGCATCGGATAAGCTCTGAATCTTCTGGACCGTTTTAAGAATTCTTTCACCTTCGGATAGCTACTTCAAGTAGCGGAAAAACAGCTAGTATTCAACAAAATCAAATAATGAAACGATATCATTTTAAAATCAGCAGAAAGGCAACGATATCCGCTAGAGGGCGCCAGTGAGATTCCCTCGCGATTAAGTGTTGTTTAATTTTTCATTAAAATTACAAATTTAATTGAGGAGTAGACCTGCAAAAATATTTGATAGAAACAAGATGTTTATTGACCATATAGCGACACATATACTAACTCCATCTAGCGACATATAAATGAAACAACTGCGCGCTGTACAACTATACTGATTAAGTATCACTTGCTCGTATCTTTAAATGTAGCGGGTGATTGAATCACTGTTAAGATGTAGTCAAATTTTATATATCGACGCTGGAAAGCAAACACGTAGTAACCCGCAAAACCAAAATTGATTTTCAAAGCAGAAAAACTTTGATATTTTTCGATAAATGATTGCTATAAACGTCCATGGTAACAAATAAGGTGTTCCTTAGTCAATTTATACAGAAATAAGACATATTTTTTTGGAAAAATCTAAAGATTTTCCATTATAAATATCCATTTTAGTTTTGCAGGTTACTACGTGTTTGCTTTCCAGCGTCGATATATTGTGACAACATGACAATGAATGTGCTCACAAATATTGTATGCTGATAAAACGTGTCTTAGATAATTAAGATGCTTTTGTATACCTAAAAATTATTACAAGATGCACTGTCTGTATTTTTGTTTTATGTATCTATGATTATAGTTTTTTTATTTACTCAAATGAAATGAAATATTATGAGTTTTGTTTAATTTTTTTATATTGTTTATAATTTATTGTTAACATTGATATGTGTTCCTACTTAATTTTATTAATAATGACTAACCAGGATTTTTCCCTAGCAACGTAGTTATGAGAGATGTATTAACAGAAATAATTAAAAAAAAAGTGAAGTGAAACGAATATTATGATGAACTATTTAAAGAAGCGTTACCCAAACTGTGATCTAACTGATCACAGTTTGGGTGACGCTGCTCAACTCCTTGAAATTCCAATGGTTGATGCGAGATTTAAAAGCTAAATCTGGGATATCATATTAAGATTTTAATTCCGATGGCCTTAATGTATCTATCAAAATAAAATACTTGTTTATTATAATAATAAAAAAAGTAACTGCGTCCATTGGAAATAATGTACTCGCAACTTTATGTGGAGTCGATATTGAACTATATCCAAAATGTATAAATAGCTTCAAATCATGTTACGTACAATTTCATGAAATTCCTACGCTTATAATATAAGCTATAGATAAATTTGACTGAGCAATTTCATAATGATACCATTATTTTGTAGACTATTATTTTTTGGGAAAAACCTGGTTAATATGTAAATTAACAGTATGAACCGAGCTTTAGAATCATGTGTGAAAACGTTATTCATATATATAAATGTGTAGGTGCAAATGCTAGTCGCATTCCAGTGATTTTTCAGTATTATAAGGCAGCACGATTTTTTTTTATTGTATGTTTATTTTTGCCAATGTGTATTTTTTTGGTTATTAGTGCAATATATTTTAATAAACACTTTTGTATTAAAACTGTATTTTTTTTATTTGGTGAATCTATTTTAAATACACTTTTAATTAAATTAGCACTAAATATTCAAGCGTCGAAGTTCTTCGAGAGTCTTTTTTACGACGTTTTATAAGAATCTCATAAGCTTATAAATGAAACCGACGTCAAAAGTGACTAATAAATTCTAGAAACTTCTATTGAAGTATCTGACTTTAACCGCCATTTTTTTTTATTTATATACAGAAACAAACAGTTATACAAATTAATATGAACATAAAATTAAAATAGACCTCTAGTTCCCTACGTTACATTTGTTTTATTGCTCGATTTTTAAGACAAATATTAATAATCTGACAAACCATAGACCACAAGATGAGATCACAACTTTTCGCAATCCGGGCGAAAAAAGTTGGTGAAATTTTTTTATGTAATTTTCTTTAAGATAAATATTTTTATTTTTTTATTTTATAGAGGAACAAACAGTTTTATACATTTTATGAACATAAAATATTAACAAAAAGTAAACCTACAGTTCCCTATATTACATTTTTTGTGATACATTTCAACCATTGAAGATAACTCTCTATAAAATAGATTTAATTACGACAATTATACATTCCATACAAAACAAAACAAAATAATGTTTTTACCTATTTTTAGGTTTTTATTTATGTATATTAACAATTACAATCACACCTGTACATCCAACTTATGCAAGTGTTCAGCAACTTGGCGATATTAACGTCGTTGTATAACGTGCAAGTACTTTTGATATAGCTGTTGCTTCTGTAACAAGTTTTACTTTGCTTTACAGCAAATAATGTTTTTTTTTCGACTTGTCCTTTCCTGTTTCCTGGGAACTCGGAAGTCTATTTTTTTCAAAACTATGTCATTCTCAATTTTAAACAAATAGTTTATAATATCTCTTCGGTGTCTTAAGGATGTTATATTATGAAAAACTAGAGAGGTCTCATAATCTAAGTATGGATTACCAGTTCTGTAATCTAATGATTTAATGAACTTGCGCTGAACTCTTTCAATTGTGTCTTGATATATACGATGTTGAGGATTCCAAAATAAAAAAAATAAAAAAAAATAAAGTTATCATAGCATTATAAATGAAATATAATAAACAATCTTTCAAACCCCCGCCCAACTTAATGGAAGTTACTTAAATTTATTTATCATGAATATTAATAAAATAAAAATATTAATAAGCAATAATAATAAAACTGTTTGTCTTTCGTAAAAACAAATTAACAATATTCTGAGTGGTAAGTGTAAGTTTTACGCTAACGCATTCACTAGTGAGCGCGTTAAGAATCTGTGTGGAGATTTGTAGTTCTTGATAGTTACCGCTAAGGGCGCTGTACCGGATTCCATACTAAAATCTTAACGCGCTCACGATCGACAGTGAACGTCAAAAAAACTTACACTAAGCGCTCTGACATCAATAAGCCATATAGATTTCAAATTTATTAAATGTTATTTCAAGCCAATTTTCAAGGGAGACTTTGATTTCGCCAATTTTCCCGTAAATAAATTTCCAGTGAAAATGACTTTAGTTGGTGCTATTTTACAAAAAGTCAAGTCAAATACTAGTGTTAAGAAGAAATATGTTTCTCCACCCCCGGAACTCGATGAAATTGAAAAAGTATTAAAGAAACCACGAAAGAAACCTATTCACAAAGTTAGTACATCACTACATAGTATAAAACAAAGCCGCTTTCTCTGTCCCTATATTAGGGATATATGTATGCTTAAATCTTTAAAACTACGCAACGGATTTTGATGCGGTTTTTTTCATAGATAGGATTTAAAAGGAAGGTTGATTTAATACTCGCAAACATGTAATAATGGTACCGCCGTCGTTATTTTTAATCTCCAATTGTAAATCGAACCTGGGACGTCCATTTACTACGACGCCGGTCGATATAGTTCTTAGAAGTGCACACGAATATATTTTTGTGGGTAGTTTGATATTTATTTTGATTAAGAGTGTCAATCGCACAATATTCTCGCGCAGTTATACTCGATTTGGTCGCACCTAAATAAAATATTATTATTGAGGTGCGACATAAATGTTCGGTACTGTTTCTAAAAATCCTTAAAAACGGGGAAAATCCTAAGAAAGCAGAATTATTATGGTCACAAAAGTACCTGTGCTTAAAAAAAAAAGTCTTGTAACTCCTTCCTCGTATAAGAAAAAATAAATTAAGTAACGGCCTGTATAATATAATTATCAATTATGGTTTCACCTTACGAAGTTTTATCTTAGGCACTAAATGTTGCAACTTTTGATGATTGTGTCTGAGAGTTCTTCAAATTTTCGTTCGTGGACAGAGTAAGTCCTCTTTTTTAATTTAACGGCACTATCCTATTATTTCCTATTGATATTATAAATGTGAAAGTTTCTTTGTTTGGATGTTTGTCGGTCAATCACGCCGAAACTAATGAACGGATTTAGATGAAATTTGGTATACAGATAGGGTATTAGCTGACTTAGATAATAGGATACTTTTTATCCCACTAAACATTAACCGAGGGCGAAGCCGCTTGCGGAAGCTAGTAACTATATAATTCAGTCAGTATCAGTGAAAGTTCGATTTCTTTTCATATATAATTGTACATCTAGTTTCACCATGCCCGCCCAAAAGTGGATACTTCGCCGCCATTGCTTAACACGGCACGATGGTTTATCAATCTGCCGAAATTCCGCAATCGTATACTGAGCATTAACTACGATAATATGGAATTACTGAGAGCTATCAAGGAGGCCCATTTCAATAGAGTATGTATATCTAACTTATTTTATCAAATTATAAGTCTTTCACGACGAACGTATGTTGCAATCAAATAAAATCTGCCCCAAAAGGTAGCAAAGGTTACAATAAGACTTTTCATTTACCGTACCGACTGTTTATTTATTTATTTATCAAAAGAAACAAACAGCTTTTAATATTACACATGAATAAGTAACTTAAATAGGTTATTCATCAGCCAAAACACAGTTCCAACACTAAATTATACTAAGGTGATGAAGACATTCTCTTAAGGTAAGGTTATACAACATTACTACTATGCAATCCAATTTTATTATAAGGATGTGCTAATATTTACCAAACAAAAATCACTTTATCAAAAATAAAACAAGGAAAGTTGGAAGGCTGCTCCATCTAACTAGGTGCACCCTTCGGAGCATCCTGGGCATTTCTTGGCAGATACCGGGGTCCGGACCGCAGTTTAATCTGCACTTAATAATAGGATTTCAATACAATCTTAACTACTTTCATTATGTAAAATGTCTTTTTCACATATCATTGGTGACAGATATATTTATTATTTTGTGATCTAGTTACTGTGCCATAAAGTGTTGAAGTTGAAGCGCTATTGACTTTGCATAATAACGCTGACATTAGCAGAATTATTCTACAGGTCAGTTCCCTTCGGTTAAAAAAAAGGGTGTACTCCGCCGAGGACCATCTTATTCCAGTTCACAGTCCATTACTGCTATTAAAAGTTATAAACAGTTCTATCTTTCGTCTGAAAATCATTGTTATTGTATACTTAATGAGACTTGTCGCCAGTCTTGAGTTAAAAGCGACATTACTCATACAAATTCAACATTCAGTAGAACTTAAAGGCGTCACTAAACCTTAATGGACATTTGTGCAACTAACCATTGGTTTATTAATTGCAGGGCAAAGTCGACAGTCGTTGGAAAGTCTATCCGGACAAATCTATGTTGTATTATAACAAAAGGGCTAATTTTTACGAACGAGTGAACAGAGAGAATAGGAGAATATACAAAGTGATAACGGAGAGAGTAATATATCATTGGTATTTGTTTGGGTATGGAAAGGGGTGAGGACTAAGAAAGGACTAAGAGAGTTGTTGAATTTACGAATTTCATAAACTATTTATTGCTTCATGTTTTGCAATGAAGTTTCATCATTGATGTCACCTATATTCCATGCCTATTGTGATGTCTGCGCTTTAATTGTAAACTTTCATTTAACTGCTAATAGATTTGAATGTAAGTTTATACTCGTAATTAGCTATTCATCTTGGAATCTGAGTAACGTATGTATGTGAATCGAATCCAGAATTGGATAGGTACGTCCAAATGACAGAACTCAGAATGTGGTAAAAACTATCCTGAACTCCTATTATAAGATTTTTTTCAGAAGCCAAAGGTAGTTCCGACGGCAGAATTGCGCCGTCAATGGACGAGGAACAGGCGGAAGATAATAGAAGGAGCTCAAGCCAAATTTGTACTTTTCCCACCAGTACCGAAAGAAATCGTGGAAGACGCGGCCTTCGTAACGCCGACTGGAGTCAAACGGCCCAGGTCCGCTTAATCTATAGCTGAGATCAATGTTACCGAAATAATGAAAAAAAAAACACGACAACACTAAACAAAAGCGTTTTATTCAGAGTTTACATAACATTACGCATCCGCGGCTGGGCAGAGATGGGTGCCCTGACTGCCGAGCTGTTCACAGACGTGTGCCCGGCGACTTGCCGTTTATTCTTGGAATTGCTAGACGGAGATGCCCTCGGTTTCGGCTACGTGGGCACCTGTTTCTTTAGGTAAGCTCACATTACATTGGCACCTGCTAGCGCAGAGTATAAAACTATGTGAGCACCTGCTACTTTAGCTAATGACACGGTTCCTGAGAATACGGGCATATACTTCTTTAAGTACCCTTAGTTGAAGGTAGGTACATCTATTGAAGAATGTAATCTTGACAGCGGCAAAAGAAATTCCTTGGACTAAAAATATCTTACTATTGAATAAAGCGGTCATGGACTCGTGTCTGAACAAAAATAATGTTTAACTATATTTTCAAGGTTCAAATAATTAGAGCAATCGTAATCTGTGTACAATACTATACCGCCCCGCAAATACGAGCGCCCCAGGCAGTTGCCTAGTTTGCTTATATGGACGGGCCGGCCCTCGGTAAGTATAATATTACGTGGACACCTGCTTCTTTAAGTGAGCATTGCGCGCGTAACTCTATGCTTCTATGGCTGAGTTAGGTGGACCTCTGTTTATTTCAGTTAGGATATATGTGGGAACATAATAATGTTATTGCACCTATTTATTCTGGTACCCGCTTTGCAATATAGTGCCACCCACCACTAAATTGCACCATAGGTCAGGTAAGAGGACTGCAATTCTCAGCATTTACTCCCATTTTTGCTCTAGAATAGCTTAACTAGGAAACGCCTAAACATACGAATCGCCTGAGCAGATTGATTAAATCCCAATAAACATTTTTTCTTTTATTCCTTGACATATTTGTTACCTGTACATATTACGCAAAGGCATAGCACAGAGCGCCGCATAACTTATTGTCATTAGGTGGTTTCTAGTCATTGGTAAAGTGCATTCACCTTAGGCGATTCCTAAATATTTAGGCAACAGATTTGGGCGACTCCTAAGTTTAGTGCGAGCACTAAACTCTTTGTCTGTCTATTGTGGGTAAAAATTTGGCTATTAAAACAATAAGCTAGTAAGAGCTCCAGCCCACCTACGTCCAACTAGGAGCGCTAACCCTTTTAGAGGTCTTCGCAGGCTTTACGGAGTATTGATGGATTACATAGTATGTTCCCGGTGTTTTGCCAGGCTATCTTAGGAATGCGATTCCTAATCACACCAAAAATTATAAGGCTATAAATCGGTTAAAATCATCATAATCTATGTCACTGGAACTATAAAAGAACGTAATAAATTAAGTTTTCAATTTGAAAACTAAATTTCTACTGCTATAGTGAAAAATATTCATCCCTGGCACTCTGAGATGGATTTCGAACCCACGAACTTTCGCAATCCGGGCGACTGTTCCATGGGTTCGAATCCCAGCTAAGATGGCAGGGACAAAGTGGATTTTCTAGCATTTTTCATTAGGAATATTTTTCGGTATAGCATTGCGAAGTTTTATTTTTAATAGATTTATTTTAAAACTGTACTTATTCGAAATTATAATACTTACATACCGTTATTATTTATTTCATTTTGATGCAAACTTTTTTTGTCAGATTGACATGACATAGAAAAATAAATATGAGTTACATCTATGGGTGGGTTATCTGGACATTGTCACCAATTGTCACATTGTCTGACTATGGTGAAACTCATATGGTTTTTTGCATTTTTCTTTACCAGTATCTTTCTTTTTTTGCTATTGATTCACATGAAAGTGATAAATCTAGATTCCCTCGGTATACCTGAAGACACTGAAAAAGCATACGATGTTGCTTTCAGAGTCAGGTTTTAATGGTACGGGGCAGATATTAGTTAAAGTGGTCAGTCCTGAAGGACAAACGTTCACCGGTTACTTCTCAGAGGATACGCTCATAGAAGAAGTGAAGAATCGAGCTATTGATTTCTTCTATCCCAGTGGCGAGAGTGGTCCCAGTCGTTACAAAGTCGTTCGGGTATTTGACGCTAGTACATTGCATGAGTTCTTAACTTTGGCGCAGGAGCAAGTGACGACGCAAGAGGAATTTCTGTTAGTGGAGAGGAGAGTACCAGAAGCTGGCACTCTGTGGGATTTGGGCGCAGTCCGTGCACCTCAGCAAGGGACCATAGCGGCGGCAACAGCGTCCTTACCGACGCCACAGAATACTATGAGGCAACCGAATCTTCAATCTCTACTCTCGACGAACGAACTGTCTTACGAGTTAAGGAAGATCTTGATATCTCTGATCGAAGCGGGAGCTCGTCTAGCTGCAGCCGGTAGGAATTACGAAATGACTTTGGCGCAACTATCAGCCGCTTTAGACGAACCCCAGAGGATCCATAATAACGTCATACAAGTGATCACCCCAGAGGAGATAGCTTCGAGGTTTAACGCTGCTGATATCCAAAGTGTGTCTGAAGAAACGACATCTGGCTCAAACTCAGACGGTAGCAGGGAGCTGTTTAAGCGTGCTGAACATTTGCAAAGATTCTTGGAGAAGTTCCGCGCGTGGAGATTCAGGATTGCCCAAGCGCCCAACACAGAAGCGGTTTCTACTTTGAAAGACCTGGGGTTTTCGCCGACTGAAGCTGACGAAGCTCTCAGGCAGACTGGATGTAATATACCGGCGGCTGCTTCTTGGTTGATAGGTGAGCGAGGGTCGAGCATATTCGAGCTGGTTAATGGGTTGCCAGATGGCACGATATTAGAAACTTTACTGAAGCAGCCACAGATCCAAAGGGGGCTTTTGAATACTCGAATGCTCATTGCTTTCATCGCGATGGTAGGACAAACTGGTAGTGCATCTCTGTGGTTAAACTCTCCCCACGGCAGCCCGCTGCTATCACAAATATCTCGCACTTACCACTCGGAGAAATACTGCCTCGCAGTGAACCAGTTTTCGACAGAGAGGCGTGAGCGAAGTTCATCTATGCCGTCTACTTCGAGACAAAGACACTGATAAGTTGCTTTCTTAACAATTTACGATTTACATCTTGATATTATGGATTATAGTTTTTAAATTAAAGTTTTTCAAGAGTTTTATGAACTTCGGATTTTAATTTTTTGACAGAATTATGTACTCAATTCAGGGATATATGAGTACAATAGTATTCTTTATAACTTTAGTGTTATTCGCGTCTCCCCTTTGTATAAGAATAAATAAGCTATAGAGTTCCGTACCTTTATACATAAAATAACAGGTTTGTAGTTTTCTATGGATTTATTTGCAATTTTAGAGATCGACTATTACTCGTAAACTTGTAAAGCCAACTTTGGTGTGACAGTTTTTCCTTTAACTTCGTTGTTTATGGGTACTACTGCCGTAACGTTTGTTTTTTGCAGAAGGGGTACATTTGACTCTAACAAAAATTAACTTTTTGCAGCTTAATAACTCAAAATCGAAAACGATTTTTCCACGCCCCAATGTTTTTGAATAGCCTATCCGATGATGTGGGGGGGCATCATTGGATAGGCTATTCAAAAACATTGGGGACGACGAAAAATAATATCATCTCCGCTTTATATATAGGGGAGGTACCCTAAAATCATTTTTCAAAAATTTTACTATACACTTTGTCGGCATAATGAACGTACATACTCATGCCAAATTACAACTTTCTAGTCTTTGAGCTAAACCGCGGACGGACGGACCGATGGACATGGCGAAACTATTTGTTTACTACGGAATCCTAAAAACGGTGTCTGTTATAATTTACATAATATGCACGCGGTAAAACACTTACCGTACATGCTATAGTGCAAGGTTAACAGTAGGGCCCGAAGATTATTCAGCTACTCTAGAAATTGGTCACTTCACAGGAACCCCTAACTTCCTATTTTAGAGATGGTATGTTAGAGTAAAATATAAAATCACTTAGATTCCGCTATCCGTCCGTCCATATGTCACCAGCCCTATATCTCATGAACTGTGTGATAAATAATAACAAATACTAAAAACTGAATAAAATTAATATTTAAGTTTTTTTTTTGCATTTTATTGATAACGGTACGGAAGGCCACCACGCACCTGTCCGTTTATTTTTGTTATTTTATAATATTTCATATCACTCTATCGGGCTTTTGGAATAAAAATATTGGCGTCATTTTTTAAGAACAAAATTCCCAAAAATACATTTGTGCTACTAAGAAGTTATCTCAATTTTTCTAAACGATTTTTGCCATCTTCAATTGTTCGGCTTGCCATCTAAGGAGCAAGACCGTAAATGTCAAGGCAGCAGGCACACCAACGAGATTGAGGGTTTTTTGTATGTCAATAAATTGTGAGTAAATAGTGTGTACATAGCATATAATTAGTGACACTGTATTAAATCATATATATTATTTGTTAAGCAAATTTCGCAAGTCACGGGATGGGTGACCCAAAAATTATTATCTTGAGCTACTACGTGCTGCGAAAAGCACGTTAAGCCGTAGGTCCCGGCAAAATTTACAATCATTAGTACCCTCCAATCCGCATTGAGCCAGCGTGGAGGGTCATGGCCTCTGCTTTTTAACTATTCAAATTGAAGGCCTGAGCCCCTACAGTTCTAATGATGATTAAAACATCATATAAAATGTTTTTTTTTTTTCTGGCAAACAGAAAAGTGCCTGGTCTGTATTGGAGTGGTGGAGACGTGTCCCACGACAATGGTTTCGGTTGCTATGCGCAGTGCGGACGTACGGTTCCTATTGGAGCGGAGAACTACCACTTCTCACATTCTATGCCAGGTAAATTTCAAGAGCTGCAGAGCCACCGCCCCACTCTCTAGCCTTGATTCTAGCCATAGGATACGACGTCTTAGTGGTGTTATGACGATGTTTCATTTCATTTTACTGCTTTGACATGTCTTTTGGTGGATATTTGAGATAAACGACTAAGTTGAAACACTGCGGTCAAATTCATATCAGCGGGGGCTAAGACGGCCGCGGAGGGGACGGTCCGCCCCGGGTCCTTGTCCTGGGAAGCCTCCAAATGGCTGCAAGTATCCTTGTAAATTGGGACTGTACTGCCTTATCTTTCTTATGTCTAATTTCTTAGTTTTAGCAGGCACCAATTGGGGAACCCGACGGGGTTAGTCTGCCACTGATTCATATCTATAATTCTTTATAGTTAGTTCATTATTACTAAAGTACATGCCTAAGTAGTAAAGTGAAACGAAATATCGGTATAACATCGATAAGATGTCGTATCCTACGGCTAGTTAGCGGTCGCATCGGTCACGCGAAGCACGACAAACTCGATAAACGTTCTGTCTGCACCAAACAACACTTTTCTCGAGAGTGAAAAATGATAGCTCTCAAAGGCCGGCAGCGCGCTTGTAGCTCCTCTGGTGTTGCAGGTGTCCATGGGCGGCGGTAATCACTCACCATCAGGTGAAACGTCTGCTCGTCTGCCCCTATTACATAAAACAAAAAAAAATGATATGGCGCACCTTCGATCAACTCGATCAACGAAATTGTTGATCGAAGACATTGTAGACAAAACTTTGTAGAGTTCGTCACGCTATTCGTGCAGCACGCGTCTGTCGTAGACAAAGCGTTTCTAGGGTTTGTCCCCGGTAACTGGCACAGAATACACAGGGGAAGATGCATCATCGACCTATTAATGTTCACATTGCTAGGACGAATCCGATCACTGGCCCTTGAGAATGTTGCTTAATTTCCCCAATGTAAACTGAACACACAAAATATTACGCCATCGAGATCCTTGATGAGAGCTTTTCGAAGAAATGAAATGGGCCGGTGTTTTAAAGAAAAAGAACAGCAGTGGGATAGCCATGCTCCTTTACCAAATATTGTATGGGATCACCACTCTACTGTTTTTTGGGTATTTACAAATCGGTTTATATGGTGATATTTAGCTTATTGGTAAGTTGACTATCTGACTCTATTTAAGTATAAGAAGGGTTGGTAAAATTAATAAACGTGTTCACAGGCGCGCACACACACAACCAAATTCATATTATATCTCTGAATTCATTTAATTTTTTCTTAAACTCTAAAAAAGATAGGATATTGCTAATAAAAAAAAAAGAATATTGTAAAGTTTAGCTACCTATGTAATGTAAAAAGGAAGAGCGAGTTCTCCTGAAACAGGTATGATAAATACTTAAAAGGGGACTTCATGATATATTGTAAATTGTAAACTAAGCTGAAGAATAAACATTTTTGATTTTTTGATTTTGATTTTGAATTTACTTTCAGACTATTTGATGTTGAATGACCACTTACAAACGCATTATTGTTTATTTTATAAATGTCACAGATTACATCGCCACAGAGTGAACGACAAAGATTAGTAAACAGATATGCCACACTCTAACACAAAATAATACTTGTCAACAAATCAACCACCAATTAGTCCTAATTTAACGATACTGGTTTTTGTCTACACCATAATCTATGAGCTATCCTAAAGAAATAGTTCCTGATGAAATATAAAGTTAGAATTACTTGATTCGTTTTCAGGGTTACTGTCCATGCGAGTGACGAAAGATGACGAGATGTGTGGAATATTCAACATAACATTCAAGCCGTTGCCACAGTTTGATTTGCAAAATGTCGTATTTGGAAGGGTGAGCCGTTATGTTATTAGCAGTGGTCGGAATTAGGTAGAGTTATTCATGTACTTACACTGATTTCATACAGCGAAAGAATAAAGTGGATATGCCTCAAATCCCGAGATTAATTTTCAGAGAGAGCAGAGTCGCCATCTAGTGAGATGCTTTTTATTACTAAAAATTACATTATTTAATTACATATTTTAATAGGTACGAAACAGATGCAAATATGGATTGATGTATAATTTTACAGAGTGTAGACGAAGGACCGGATATTACAATATCATTTGTATTAATCAAAATTCTGTAGGTACCTACGGAACTGAAGCGTCGTCTATTGAGAATATCTTAATGTAAGAAAACGCTTATTTCCTTTTTTTACAATTGCAGATAGTACGTCCATGCAGTACATATGATAGCATCTCACAGTTAGGATCGTCGCTGAGCACTTGGCCGATCGTAGAAGTGAGTAGCACTCGCCGGCGGCACGACAACGGATGGGTGCGCGGAAAACCTAACACTAGGGTTGTTGATATAAGAAAGCTACACCGCAAGCGATATGAACCATAGCTAATACTTAATTTACTACTGTTTTTGTTTACTATTTTTAAATTAATGATCTATCTCATTATGGTTTTCTTTTTTCCTTTTTTAACTAGGAAACCTTAAAAAAGATCCGAATTAATCCAACCTTTTTTAAATTTCTAGCAACACATAAACATAGTTAATTCTATGTATATTCTAAGTCTAAAGAGTTCTTATATCAAATCGAAATGAAAAACAAATTTTTACTTAAAAATATTATATTAATATATCCAGTCAAAAACATCCGTTTTAATTAAAAAACAGTGAAACCATCTTACATAATACTTATCATTTTACTGTTAACATTATATAATCACTGAAATGAGCAATTTGAATTTCAATCATATTATCACATGAAAACATATTTTGGTGGGAAAATCTACATTAAAACTAACAATAGGGTAAACGTACATATTATTAACAATCTTCGAAATTGCGACATTTGTGCATTTATTTACATATTGATTTCGACACATTGAGTTCTTTTCCCGCGATCAAAACTGACAAATATCATGGATATAATAAAAACAACGATATTCACAAAAGCGTTTTTTTTTTAATCATAAACACTTTAGGTAATATGGGACGGACATGTTTTCAAATCTATACGGTGGCCCACCCCACTGGCGGGGGTTAGAAGGGCGCAATATTAGGAAAAGATCGTAGATCCGGGCCTGCTTCCTTTCTCTAGCAAATGGTGATTCTGAGCAATAAAAAAGGATAGTAGAGCGACGATAAAAGTCGATACCGTCCTGACAAATTTATTCCAACCCTAAAATTGAAAATTAGCATCCTACGGCTCATGTCTAAACGA